CACAGGTCACAGCAACCTCTAGCTCCTGGGCTCAAGTGATTCTCCTGCCTCTGCCTCCCAAGTAGCTGGGACTACAGGCACCTGCCACAACGCCCAGCTATTTTTGATTGCAGCTGTCATTGTTGTTTGTCAGGCCCAGGCTGGATTCAAACCCGCCAGCTCAGGCGTATGTGGCTGGCGCCTTAGCCACTTGAGCCACAGGCGCCAAGCCTATTAGAGGTCTTTATCTAACAAATGCAATCAATGTAACCTGGTTCTTTGTTCCCCCAATGAATCCCCAACCATAAAAAAAAAAGAACAGCTATATAAGATAAGAAATTAAAATAGGAAACCGTTATACATATAAGAAATGAAAAGAATTATAGGAAACTACTTTGCTCAAACTCATGGAAATACATCTTGGTAATTTAAAAGAAAAGGATAATTATCTAGAAAAATTAAAATGTAAGCAAAGCCAGAAACTGTCAGATAATGAGAAAATTGTCAAAGATCTACTTGCCCACACAAAGGCCATACAATTAGGTTTTATTTGTCAAACTCTTAGACCCAGTGATCTCATTCATTCATTCACACTGACATCGCTAAGTCAGACTTTTTGTCTGAGCCTCCATCTCTCAATCCAACTGCATGCTACATTTCTTTGCTTGGAAATCTGTCCATCTCATAAAAATCAATCCTTATGTTCCCAGCCAAACTGATCATCTTTCCTCCAGCTAATCTTTCTTCAGATTGTTTCTATTAAATGCTACCAACTTCCAGTTACCAGCATTGAAAATAAAACTGGAAATGCTTTCTTTTGTTCTTTGGTTCATAAACCCCAGAATAATCCTAAAAATTTATTCTCCTCAAAAGAGACACTCAATGTGTCTTGGCAAAAGAATACAAGAATAAATAAATGCATAGATCCTTTAATATAAAAGGAACTTAGTAACTAGGAAAGAGAAAACAATCTAGACTTTTTCCCAATGGAATGAAACAACTGTGCAAAACTAAAAGGCAGGGAAGGACAAGGAAATACTGTGAAATTTGGACCTTGAGAATATATACAAAGAGAATAAACTGCGGAGTTCATGCTAAAGATGCCTCAATGTTTCTTCTCAGGCCTTGAACCTTTAAGAAAGCTATCCAGGAAACATCAATTATGAGCTAAACTTTTCAGAATAGCCGAGCTTTTCCTGGTAATGGCTTCAAACTCCCTGGTTCTCTCTCACTCACCAGGGCTTATGCCTCTTGCTCCCTCCTTCTTCACCATCCAGGGCTCTTTTCCTTGCTCCAATAATGAGATAACATCTGGCTTAGAAACAGAAACTCCTGCTTGCAAGAAATAAAACAGGAATTAGTCAGGTCTATAAATCAGATCAAGTTCCTTGGTCACTAGGAAGATGGGGATATTATAGGAGGGAGCTGAGGAAGGGGTGAAGTATGAGGAAGAATGAGGAAGATGAAGAATGAGGAAGATGAAGTTGCCAATTCTACAAAATTCAACCTCTTTTGGGAAAGATATGAAAGAAAAATTTAGTAAAGCACATTGGACACTTCCCAAACATTACACTGAAATGCAGTCCTGTGTATAGATTCTGAATTGGGGGAGACCTCCTTACCCAGTGATACTAGGCTCTTATAGTTCTCCAACATCACCTTCCTGTACAAATTTCTCTGAGCAGGGTTGAGCCATTCCCATTCCTCTTGAGAGAAATTTACAGCCACATCCCCAAATGTCACCAAATTCTGAAATGATATAACACATTAATGCTTAATTAGTGTTCATGGCCTCATATGAGCCTAGGTTAAAGAGATTCTATACTTTTAAAGAGAAATATATTGCATATAGCAAAATTTTCTTTTGTATTTTGGTTTTGAACAATGCACGTCAAGTAACTGCTAACCAACTTCTCTTTGTTCAGTTTTGACATTTTGTCATGGAAAGGGTACAATTTCAGAGATAATTCTACTGATGTAGAAAAGATTTATAACACACAAAAAATTGGACAATAACAGAATAAACAATCAAGTATAAAATATGTTATTCATTCTAAATTCCAGAGCACTTCTCAATATAGAGAAACCAGAATACACTGGGGTCTTCAAGGAGGAGACAAGCTATGAGTTAAGCCTTATAACATGTACAGGGTCTGGGACTGCAAACTAATACAACCTTTTTGTAAGGAAGTATGGAGAATCCTCAAAGAAACTCAAACTAGACCTCACATTTGATCCTGCAATCCCATTACTGGGAATCGACCCAGAAGAAAAAAAATCCTTTTACCATAAGGACACCTGCACCAGACTGTTTATTGCAGCTCAATTTACAATCACCAAAATGTGGAAACAGCCTAAATGCCCCTCAATACAGGAATGGATTAACAAGCTGTGGTATATGTATACCATGGAATACTATTCAGCCATTAAAAAAGATGGAGACTATACATCTTTTGTATTAACCCGGATGGAAGTGGAACACATTATTCTTAGTAAAGCATCACAAGAATGGAGAAACAAGAATCCTATGTACTCAATTCTAATATAAGGACAATTAATGACCTAGTACTCAGTGAGGGGTGGGGGAAGGGGAGAGTAAGGAGGAGGAAGTAGGGAGGGGGCTGAAGGGTCATGTGACATACCTTTTGGGGGCAGGACACAATTGTAAGAGGGACTTTAACTAACAAATGCAATAAATGTAACCTGGTTCATAAAACTACAAAAAAAAGAACAGGTTACTGTCCCTATAAAATACTGTATCATAGGACCCTTCCCATTTTAAGAAATTTACCAGGGACCCTGAGAGAACTGAAAGAAATAAAATTTACTAACTTATTAACCAACTAATGTCACTGGGAAAAATAATGAAAAAAAGATTTCAGAATGGGTGAATGATAGATATCCTGTTAGTTTACCACCCCCAGTCCATCTCCACACTCCAGGTAACCAAGTGTGGATAAAAGATTGGAGCCTGAGCCCACTGAAACCATGGTGAAAAGGTCCCTACTTGGCGACCCTGTCCACACCAACAACAGTGAAGGTGAATGGCATCCCTGTCTGGATACATCACTCACGAGTGAAACCAGACAGCAATGGGGAGTGGACAGTACAACACCCAGAGCATCCCCACCGTCTTACCCTAATAAAAGACTACAGCTCTGCCCCAGTCACATACCAGGAGCTGACTGGTCTACGTATGGCAGAAGCTTGAAGCTGAGCAGCATCGGCATGGGACTGGTGACTGATTCTTTGCTTTGGACTTTTTCACCTTCCTTCTTTAATCTTAGATGTAAGACATGATGAAGGTTGTGAAAAATGTATCCAAAAGGTAACCCAAACTAGACAAACTGTCAAAATCCTGTTATTGGTTTATTCTTACTATGAATATACAGGAAAGCCTGAAGGTACTTGCATATATAGCAACACCCAATATTAGATATATGTGCCCCCCACCATAGGCCAGCTGTTTGCTACAATTCTTCTGAACCCCCAGAGCAAACTGAATTTTCTATGTGGTATACTGATATCCCTAGAAAGACAATAAATTGATATAATAGAAGGAATACCTAAACAAATAAGAATAATCATTAATAATTTTGCCAATATATACAGACATGTGTCTTTTTATATTTTCAATAGTAACTAGAAGTTTTCCATGTAGAAATACTATACATTATTAAGGAATTATTTCTATATATTTAATATTTTGTGCTGTCATATTAACTTTACTTCTCTAATTGTTAATGGTATACAATGGATATTTGTATATTGAACTTAAAAAAAATAAAGGAATGGTAAACATTAAAAAAATTTTAAAAATAGGCTCAACGCCTATGGCTCAAGCAGCTAAGGTGCCGGCCACATACACCTGAGCTGGCGGGTTCAAATCTAGCCAGGGTCCTCCAAACAATGACGGCTGCAAGCAAAAAAAATAGCTGGGCGTTGTGGCGGGTGCTGTAGTCCCAGCTACTTGGGAGGCTGAGGCAATAGAATCACTTAAGCCCTGGAGTTTGAGGTTGCTGTGAGCTGTGATGCCACAGCACTCTACCCAGGGCAACAACTTGAGGCTCTGTCTCAAAAAATAAATAAATAAATAACAAAATAAAAACTTGTGTCTGTATGTTTAATAAATCTTTTGTTCTACAAAACAAAACAAACAAAACCCCAAAAAAGAAAACTGTAAGTTTCCCACTCCTGTTCTAGAGTCTGAAAGCACCTACAGAAGTGGACTTAAAATCTGCCTTCAGGGCATCAGTGTCTTCCCTCTCTGCCAGTATAAATGACCTTGAAAGAGGTGGGCTGAATTGTGATATGTTGAAAGCCACCTGGAAAACATTTTCCTCAATGACTGCTGAAATTGAAAGTGATCTCAAGTTCAGATCTTTGGAAAATTCTTTTTTTTCAGTTGTTGGGGATTCATTGAGGGTACAAAGAACCAGGTTACATTGATTGCATTTGTTAGACAAAGATGGAAAATTCTTACATAATTTAGTGGGTTGTCTAACTTTGCATAGAGTTGCCCAGAAATTTACACAAAACTCTAGAATCTCACGTTTACACACATAAAAGAAGCAGACCAACAAATTCTATGAAATAAAACTGGACTCTGTTTAACTAATGTATATTTCTGGAATCCAGCTTTATATTTTTGTCATATATCAGAAAGAATGGAAACAAATTTCATGCTTTTAAAAAAACAAAAAAAAAAGAAGAAAAATAAAATAAAATAAAAAGATAACAATGGGGGAGACCAAAAAAAAAAAAACAGGTACAGGGTCAAAGCTGGTATTTTGCCAAACTGCACAATGGAAAGGTCAGTATTCTGAGGACATTAATACAGTTATGTGTAAATATATTTGATGCTTATAACATTGATTTCTAAACACTTGCCAACCAGCCGCCAAAGTCATGAATGTCATGATGTCAAAATATATGATGACATCATGTATTTTACAATAAATATTACACATCTTATGTTCCATTTCATTATACATTCCAACCTGACTCTTTTGTTTGCTGCACATTCAACATTTATTTTACATAAACTTCTTCCCTGTAGATGGTTTTTTTTTTTTTTTTTT